ATTTAAATCATTCCAGGCTCTAACCAGAAGTTTTTACTGTATGTAGGAGGTGTTTCTTTAGATACAACAGACCTCCAACAAGTTAAAGGACACTGTAGAGTAGAATATAAAACAGGATGTACTAATTTAACAAATGTAACATTATCTCAGCTTTGAATGGAATATATAATTTTGTATCTTTTTATTTATTATAGCCAGAAAAAAGTTTTTAAAAATGAATTTTATTTTTTTAGAATATTTTGTACTTCCATTGTGAAAAAGCGGATGTCACAGCTCCTTTTTTACTTGTTTTTCAGGCTAACCTAAAGGCTAAAAAAGCCTGTTGATTATAATAGTTCAGGCTGAAATGTTTAATTTTAACTGAACATGTGCTTTGCTCAATTTAGGGCAAAACAACACTTTAATGGTATCCCCCACAGATGCCTATATTCACATTTTGTTTGTAGCTACAGGAAATCAGTGTAGCAGTACTGCAAACAGAAGAAGCACCATGTAAATTCCTAATAATGGTTTGTCTCAGTGCTGGATGCCTCAGCAACCAAGAATCAGCACTGTCACAGTGAGGAAGGAATTGCCCAGAAGTAGTGGGTATATCACTTTACCTTTCTGGGCCAACTGAGCTATACAGGAGTGAGGGGAAAGAAAGTATAAAGCAAGCCATAGATGATGTGATTTTTCTTTCCTGCAGCCATGGGAATGAAAATCTCTGGATTCCCCCATCAGCACAGTCAGTGTTGATGGGGGAATTCCTCTCATGAAGTTATTGGGTTCTCCTGGTGGTAGTGGGGGAGGGGTTTGCAGGCAGACGTCCCTGCCAAGAGAACACATTGATTATTGCTAGTGGCTATAGCCACTGGCAATAATTGCATGTTGAAAGTCCAACATGCTGGTTTTGTCCAAGTCAATCAATGGATTGACTTGGGTACAATCAGCCTGCCCATTGACGCATCAAATCTCGGCCCCTGCTGAACTGGCTGAGATTTGAACTGTCTATGGCCAGCTTAAGTAGCTGTGTGGGCTGGCATTGAAGTGAACCTATTGTGTGGACAAAGCACTGTGAAAGTGTCATCCCTCTTCCCTCACAGCCACTGCTTTCAATTTTAGACGATATAATGTATAATAAAGTTTCAGTCAGAGAGCAAGAGAGTCTCAAAGTGAAAAGTTTGTTTTGTCTCTTTAGAAAGCCCATAGTGCTCTGTGAATTCTGTGCCATTGATGTACTCCATTTTAAATGTTTATTTCTAAAAGGAGGGTATAAATAAGAAAAAGTAATCCGTATAAAACACATAAATCCAAAAAAGTAATTATAAAGTTGATCCATAAACATTTACTTTCCCTCCAAAGGGGTATATATATCTACCCCTGCTAGATGGGTTGGCCCCTTCTGTTGCATTTGCTCTGTAACTAGCTCCTATTATTGCCATTGCAAACAGCCCAACAAGACCATTTTGTATTCCTTACAAGTGGAAGTTGTTTTGAAAGGTTCTGAATTTGGATGGTTTTGGATGGTGCTAAAGCTGAGGACCTCTGTTAATTTAAAATGAAAAATCCCTTTAGCTAATTAAACCTAAAATCCTAAATTCTTTTAAGGTACTGAAACTTGTTCATTTATATCCACAAAGACTATTAATATCTCATTTATTTGAGGCATCGTGCATTTATGTTTAGAGGCCCATCAGCATCTGTTACTTACAGTACATTCCAAGTTAAGAAAGAATGTTGAAGAAGAAATCGGAGCTGAGTAATGTGGGTAATGTTCAGAGGTAGAATATCAAAAGTGGAGTCAGAATTTTTTTAAAGTGAAACTTTCGCCTTGTGCACAAAGAAATGTCAGGTCAACTACATATACTGTATTGCAACAATTTCAACAAGCTTTCTAAATGTAATATTAAAGGCATCAAGTTTGTTTTTACTTTAATACAATCGCATTAATAAAAACAACCCTGTACAGGTTCTACTCCCCCAATTCCTTTGTTCCTTGTTACCGCTGATGGCTCTGGGATCAGTCAGCATCATTCCCTGAACTTCCTTGTTTTACAGGAAACACTGAGGGCAGCGAAGCCATAGGCTCTTTCTGCCATCAGTCAAATTGCTGGAAAAAGGGAGGAGGGAGCGAGAGCATGACTTGCCTGGCAGTGTGCGTGTGTTAATGGACATTAGCTAAAGGAGGCACCCACAAACAGGGAGGAGGGGGCAGCGGAATTGGGATCCACAAGGACACAGAGGAGCCATTTTAAAGGTTAAGGACTATACATAGTAGTCGAGTCTGGACCTCCTCTTCTAAAATAAAAAAAGAGGCTTTAACATCGCTTTAAAGGCTATGCACTTTTTCAATTAAAACATCACTAACGTATCTCTTTGGCTTGTAAACCAAAACCGAAATATTGTACAGAACACTTTTTTTGCTGCTGCTGGGATCGATGTTTGCAAATTCTAACTTTCAATAGAGGCAGGTGTGAAGGTAAGGACATGAAGGAAAGATCTGTAGCCCACTGCACTTTGTTCCCTATGAGCCAGTCTGCCACATACCCCATTCAGTTTTCCTGGAAAAGTGTATTTAATCTGAGACATTTTTCAAAATGGGACAATCTGCAGGGAGGAAGAGATCACTGCTGAGATTGTCAATCAAAGTAGCAAGTATGACTGTTTCCCTGTCTGATTACTCATCTGCTTAGCACAGATGGGAGACTACAGAAAGTTTTGTTTTGCATCTGCATATATACTCTATGTAGAACTATTATTTTCTTTTACCCCTGGAAATCGCATACAAAACATGCATACATATACACACTGTTGCACATCAGAAAATGGCTTAAAAATCTGTGTTAAAATTGTAAATGTTTTTAGGTGCAGAAATGTAAATGAGCCTTTAGGGCACAAAAAAGAGCTGCATTTAGATGCCTACAGTAGATAGGCATATGCACATATCTAGACACAGCACTGTAGTATTCAATGAACCTATACACACAGCTACCTCTACGTACAAAAATGTGCGCTGCGTTTAGTCGCGCACAAAAAAAAGTAGGACACAGCTGCAAATTTTACCTAGGATCTTTTATTATGCAGAAAATAATCAGCTAAATGCAGCATTTTTTCTGCTCGTGTGAATGAGCCCTTACTGTGATTCTGAGGTTCTTCTTTGTTTTTAACAACCTTATTACTCATTATACTCAAAAAATTGGGGTACAGTAAAAGGAATTCTGGACATTGCTACTGCAACTAGTTAGAGACAGTCTGCATCCAGGGCTGATCATTTACAGGGGAATGCAGTTACATGCAAATGGCCGCTATTAGCCCTGGTTCACACTGAATGCGGCTTTGGAATCGTGTTACTTCACTTGAAGTGGCGCGATTTCAAAGCCACTAGTCAGTGCAATTTTTATGTGCGGCTTGCCTGACATCTGTGTGACTTTATGCACAGATGACCTTGCAAGAAGCACATGAAATCGCCAATAGTGCATGAACCTTTTTTCAAAATTGATGCCACACTGCTAAGTTGGAGTTGCCAACCGATTTGAATGGTTCCATAGACACAAATATATGGGTAAATTGTCATGTGATTTTGAACTATCAAATCTCATTGGAGTGAACGGGGCTTAGCTGCAAGTGAGGCTTCCTGTAGCTGCTAATCGCTGGGAACCCCCGCTGGGGTTCTTGCATGTCACAAGCTTATTCGCAAGTGTAAATGCGGCTTAACTGAACAGGCTGAAGATGGAAGCTGATTGGTTGCCATGTACACCTGCCCCAGATTCTGTCTGCTCCAGCTTTGATAAATTCCTACCCTTGCAATGAATGACATAATTTCTTCATGCTGCATTTTCAAAGTGATTTTACTTCTCATAATAACCAACAGGAACGCCCACATAATAAAAAACTTTTGCTAAAGGCAATTTCACGGGAAATGACATGCAAAATGCCTGTGAAAAGGTTCACATAATGAAACACAATGCTAGATAACACTCATGTAATAATGCCAGACATTTTCAAGTGTTGCTAGTGTGCATGAACCAGGAGGCACTCTGAGCCAGGTACTTTTGTAGACTTCCTGTGCTGGTAGTTTTCCCTATTCAAGTAAAAGAATGTTTTGTTTTTTTGCACAGCCATATTAGGCGAAAAGCAGAACTATTTTGTGCAATATGTTACTGCAGTCTTTGATTTCTTTGTAGCTATAATGCTGTAAAATGTCAACTTTAAGCATCTTATAATTCCTGACTGTTTTGCTGCTACAGTCCATGTTTCTTCTGAGAGTATACTGTGGTATGGGGAATAGGAGTGCAAAGAATCTGGGAATGTGTTGTATCTTATTTAGACCCCTACATACACTATATTGCCAGAAGTATTGGGAGCCTGCCTTTACACGCACATGAACTTTAATGCAATCCCTGTCTTTAGGGTTCAATATTGAGTTGGCCCACCCTTTGCGGCTATAACAGCTTTAACTCTTCTGAGAAGGCTGTCCACAAGGTTTAGGATTGTGTCTATGGGAATGTTTGACCATTCTTCCAGAAGCGCATTTGTGCGGTCAGGCACTGATGTCAAGGGGGAAGTCCTGGCTCGCAGTCTCTGCTCTGATTCATCCCAAAGGTGTTCTATCGGGTTGAGGTCAGGACTCTTTGCAGGCCAGTCAAGTACCTCCACCCCAAACTCGCTCATCCATGTCTTTATGGACCTTGCTTTGTGCACTGGTGCGCAGTCATGTTGGAACAGGAATGGGGCCATCCCCAAACTGTTCCCACAAAGTTGGGAGCATAAAATTGGCCAAAATGTCTTGGTGTGCTGATGCCTTAAGAGTTCCTTTCACTGGAACTAAGGGGCCAAACTCAACCCCTGAAAAACAACCCCACATTATAATCCTCCTCCACCAAACATTACACTTGGCACAATGCAGTCAGGCAAGAACCGTTCTCCTTGCAGCTGCCAAACCCAGACATGTCCATCCAATTGCCAGATAGAGAAACGTGATTCATCACTGCAGAGAACTTGTCTCTACTGCTCTAGAGTCCACCACTGCATCCAACGCTTTGTATTGCACTTGATGATGTAAGGCAGGGGTGTCAAACTGGTGGCCTTCCAGCTGTTGTGAAAGTAAAAGTCTCATCATGCCTCTGCCTTTCTGAGTCATGTTTGTAACTGTCAATCTTGCAATGCCTCATGGGACTTGCAGTTTTTTTGCAACAGCTGGAGGGCCGCCAGTTTGACACCCATGATGTAAGGCTTGAATGCAGCTGCTCGGCCATAGAAACCCATTCCATGAAGCTCTCTACACACTGTTTTTGTGTTAATCTGAAGGCCACACAAAGTTTGGAGGTCTTAAGCTATTAACTCTGCAGACAGTTGGTGACTTCTGTGCACTTTGCACTTCAGCATGCGCTGACCCCGCTCTGTCATTTTACATGATCTGCAGTTGCTGTTGTTCCCAGCTGCTTCTTCTTTGTTATAATATCACTAAAAGTTAACCATGGAACATTTTAGTAGCAAGGAAATTTCACGAATGGGATTACTGCACAGGTGGCAACCTATCATGGTACCATGTTTGCATTCACGGAGCTCCTGAGAGTGACCCATTCTTTCACAAATATTTATAGAAGCAGTCTGCATGCCTAGGTGCTTGATTTTATACACCTGTGGCCATGGAGGTGATTGGAACACCTGAATACAATGATATTGTCCCAATACTTTTGGCAATATAGCGTATGAGCGAAAGACTCCACCTTTTTAGGTCTGTAGCATTTTTTTTCTTTTAGGACCTAAAAACCAGTGCAGTGTTGTCTGTAGGCTAATGTGCACACCTGCAGTGTATGGCATACTGCAGTGATGGGTTCTTTGTGTGTGGTTTTTTTTTTTAAAAAAAAGAAAAGAAAATTGTGTAGTAATTTTATATGCATTAGTGTGTATATGTGAGGTCCTTACTGAACTTAGCTTGTGTTCTTTATTTAGAATTTTTTTTAGTCTATTAAATACTTTACTTAAATAAATGAAAATCCTTTTACAATTAATATCTTACCACATCATGTCACTTCTTCCATTTCTTGCTTGTTTTCGCAGCGCCATTTTCTTCAGGTTCCTCAAGGACTTTTGTTGTCCTCTTCTCAATAGTCTCTGCTTTATTTTTTTTTCTTAGCTGGTTCTTTCTTGTTTTTGGTATCCACATCTGCCTTTATGGCTTTGGGCTTTTTGGCTGCTGCTGGACCCTTTGGTTACTCTTCAGCAAGGATTCCCTTCTCTATCCCTTTGTTCAGAGCAGACCTCAGCAGAAACTTGAGCCTCACGGGGTCCACAGTAGGATGAGCAGCCAGAATTCTGGTGCGTATGGTCTGGGCAGAAGTCCCCTTCCGCTCAAAGTCCTTTTTCCTGGCTGTCTACCACCTTGGCCAATGTAGAAGGTTGACACAGGGTCTTCAGCTTGGTTGGCTTTGGGGCTTTTGTGGTCTTTCTTGTCCTTGCTAGCTGAAGCAGCCTTCTTTGGAGCCATAACAGAACCACATGGTAAACTCTTGACCAAATCACAGATGTTGACTTTATTTAGGATCTTTCTGCTAGCAAGATCCTGCAAATAAACATCACTACATTTTTGCAGTTATGTGCAAGAGGCCTTAAAGAGGAACTTCAGTTTTTCGTTTATTTTTTTAACTTGTTGCCGACCGCAGATAGCCGAATGACGGCTGCACTGCGGCCGGCCAGTTCTGAGTGGACGTCATATGATGTCCCCCCAGAACGCGCTCTCCTGTGGCCCCAGGGGGCGCGCACCCGGCGATCTCCGTGATCGCTGTGTCCTACGGACACAGCTGATCACGTGATGTGGTAAAAGGCCAATCACAGCGGCCTTTTACCACCTGATCAGCGGTGTCCAATGACACGCTGATCAGAGGGAAATGCAAGTGCCGGTTCTCGGCTGCACTTTCCTCACGCTGTCAGATCGTGAGGAAAGTACTGCCGAGAACCGGCAGTTGTCAGAGCGGGGATCGGCACCGATCATCAGGGCACTGATGATCAGTGCCCTGATGATCGGTGCCCAGCAGTGCCACCCACAAGTTCCGCCCACCTGTGCCCTGCAGTGCGCCCACTAGCTCCGCCCACCTGTGCCCAGCAGTGCACCACCTGTGCCCAGCAGTGCACCCACCTGTGCCCAGCAGTGCACCCACCTGTGCCACTCTGCAATTTCACACACACCTGTGCCCAGAAGTGCCACCTACTTGTGCCCAGCAGTGCCACCCACCTGTGCCCACCAACCTGTGCCCACCAGTGCCACCCACCTGTGCCCACCCACCAGTGCAGCCCAGCAGTGCTGCCAGTCAGTGCCACCAGTCAGTGCCCAGCGGTTGTGCCAGTCAGTGCTGCCAGTCAGTGCCCAGCAGTGATGCCAGTCAGTGCCGTCTATCAGTACCCATCATCAGTGTCACCTATCAGTGCCGCCTATCAGTGCTGCATATTAGTGCCGCCTATCCGTGACACCTCATTAGTACTGCCTATCAGTGCCCTTTAGTGCTGCCTATCAGTGCCGCCTATCAGTGCCGCCTCATCAACGCACATCAGCAAAGGAGAAAAATTACCTGTTTGAAAAATTTTATAATAGAAACAAAGAAACTTTTTTTTTTTTTTTTTTTTTCAAATTTTTGGCAATTTTTTATTTATAGCGCAAAAAGTAAAGTGCCCAGCGGCGATTAAATACCACCAAAAGAAAGCTCTATTTGTGAGAAAAAAATTATCAAAATTTCATATGGGTACAATGTTGCATGACCGCGCAATTGTCAAAGTGCGGCAGCGCTGAAAGCTGAAAATTGGCCTGGTAAATAAGGGGGTATAAGTGCCTGGTAGGCAAGTGGTTAACTTATACTGTTCCTGCTGACTTTTAAAAATCAGGCTTTTACCAGTGCCTGAAACCCAGAGCTGTCTTCCCACAGCCAGTTCTTCTTACCATTGTGGAACCCTGGTGCTGACATCTTGGATATAGGAGTGGCCTGTGGCTTCTTGAGGAACCACAGCTGGTTCCCCCCTGCATTGGCATGAGCTCTTGCAACGCCGTGAATGGTCTTCTAGCCTCCAGGGATAAGTTGTGTATCTTTGACACTGCGGGATCTGATTAAAATTTGGTACTTGCTCTTCCCCTTTCTCCAAAAAAACTGCAGCTCAGTTACAGGCTGGCAGGAGGGAGTGAAATTCTGCTTTAAAAGGCAGAGGATGGGGTAAGGACCTGTCCCAACACTCTGCTCTGGCCCCAGAGGTAATCATGTTGATGCCTTCCAATCTCTAATTTGATGCTTTGGTGCTGTTTTTATGTATCATGAATATTATTTGTTAATAGCTTTTCATTTTCATTTAAATATTTTGTAATTTTGTCATGATCCTTTCAGCTATGATCCTTTCAGCTATGTATAGAAATATGATGCAAAGGAATGACTACTTATATATAAACTAGCATAGCTACTTGACTTACAGCTGTGTTTGCCTTTCCTTTCAAGAACTAAACAGTCTGCTTAGAGTCTTGTTTCTGTCTCTCTCATCATAAAATCCAGTCTTCCTCACTTTCAAACAAGAAATAATTGACATTTCATGAAGTAGATCTTTAAAAAAAATGTATTGATTCAAAGTGCCAATATTATATGCGAGTTTTGGAAATCTGATATTAAAATGTGCAGTTCTATTTTTAGTAACCAGCTTTATATGGTTCCATTCTGCAAACCTTCATAAGTTGCATCAGCTGCTTCAGTTATATTCCTTATTTCAAAATATACAGACAAATCAGGGCTGTAACTTATTTGCGATTCTGACTTTGTCAAAAGTCAACAGCTAAGCCTGCGGTTTGTGTCTATAGAGCATGGCTCCATTAAAACACAGAGCTTGGAAGCAAGCACCATACCAAGCGGCTTGCTATGGGAGGCACAGAGAGAAGAGAAGTGAAGATTGATGGCAGGGGACTGCAGAAGAGGAGGATTGGGGGAGCTCTGTGCAAAACCATTACACAGAGCATGTAAGTATAACATGTTTGTTATTTTAATAAACAAAATGCCTTTTAGTATTTCAATAAAATGTCGCTTTGTGTTGTTTAAATAAAGTAAACAGTGTAATGCGACAGGATCAGTGCATCAACACTGTTCCTCCCAGTGAACACGAGTGGCTGTGTGTTTAGGGTATAAATTGTCATAGCCTGAGCCTGTTGAAAACAGGATCAGTCAAAGACTGAAATGTTTTTTGACCCTAAAGGACACTGCACAGAGATTTCTCTGTAAGGTAATTGTGGGCTGTGCTAAAGATTTTTTGGCCTACAGACTGTTTTTTCCCCAAGAAAAGAGCAGTACTAGGGTTGTAAACATAAGTATGCTAGCTTGCAGGATACAGTAAATGCCAGCAATAGTATGAGCTTGTTCTTGAAAAGATCTTTCAGTGCTTAGAGGATTTATAAACATCCGGCCGTCATCTACTGTCTATAACTAGGTTTAGAGAGAAATCAGCTTTGCTCATGTGTAAAGGAGTTCTGACTATATACTTGTTCTGTAGCATCTGGTAGGTATACAGTTCACTAAAATGTTATTTGGCTTCTTAACTAAACATTTTCTCCATGTCATATATGACTTGCACTGAGAGAGCGAAAGTGACAAGCCGAAGGCTGGTTTGACAGTATTCACTTTTCTTATTTCAGAAACTTTGCAGCTTTGCGTAGAAACCAATCAGCTTCTAGCTTTTTTGTCAAAGCTTAATTGAACAAGCTGAAGTTAGAAGCTGATTGGCTACTATGCACAGCTGCACCAGATTCTGAGTGCTCCAGTTTTAGTAAATCTACCCCTTTAAATCATGGGATCTAGCAGCCCTTCAGTATAAACGTTCTGGGTTTTGGTACTTGGATTATCACACAGCTCTTTCTGACACACATATAAAAAAGGTTGCAAATAGCTGCCACAACTGAGTTTAATAGTCTACACAAAAAGACCCCTTATATAAGAACAGTCCTCCATGTGGGGTGATAAAGCCTGATTTTGGGCTACTAGAATGTTCCATCATGGCTTTAAAACCTTACTACAAGAAAAAAAGAACAAAAACGCTTCTACATGCTATAATAAATGATTAATTTCTTTACCGATCAATAGGAATAATCAGTCTATGGTCGACCAAAGCATCTCAATGCTGCCAATCAATGCAAAGTGATTGATAATTTTTCCACCCTGGCCGATCAACTTAATTTGATCCAATCTAAACTGAGTCTAAATCAGTCTGAAGGGAGGTTATGGTTGTTTTTTAATCGAATCACAAAGCAATTGGATAATAAAATCGAATCGTGTATAGCCACCATAAGAGTATCTTTCAAAACAACTGTGGTCTGAAAGATACTGTTAGAAGTGTGTCTGTTCTATTTCCTTGTACATTTAGTTTATTGAGTGGCCATTACAACGTAGTTTTAATAAAGTTGTATAAGGTCCCACACAAGAAGAACTGCAGTAAGGCAACCTATGTATCAAGTATGGTATAGTACAGGATTATTTTACATCAGAAGAGAACATAAAAGAAAGTTAAACATAGGAAATTTTACAAAAGAAATAAATGTCCTTGTGTGTTGTTTAAAGGCACAGTGAGTGAATTTTCATCTGTGTTTACAGGTGAGGTGCCACATACTGTATTTATTGATCAAGACAAGGTACCATATTATAGGGGGCCTTACAAGTTAACTATGCGCGTGTGGCTTTTCACAGCGAGAGGTATTCTGTGTCATAGGCTGGACCATAGTTTGCCAATTCAGGTGTACATTAGGGCTACATTGGCTAAGGATAGGTTCACACCTGTGCAGCTGCATGGGCCACAGTTTGCTAGGGCTTGGCAGCCCATTAATTTTATTGGGCTGCAGTACCTTGTGGAACGCAGGGAAAAAGCCCCTGTACTGTTTCTGGAATCACAGCTCGAAATCACAGTGTGGTTCCCAGTGCGTGTATGATTTCCAGTGTAGGTTTAATGGCACCCTCCTGCATTTCACTGTGTGATTGGTTGCGGCTGTGGGAAGAGGTGTGGGTCCCAAGGCTGCAAACATCCTCACAGGTGTGAACCTAGCTTTAGGCATACTTTTAACATTTCATGAAATAGATATCTGATTGTGTCCCACTACTTTTAATGCGAGCTGCTTTACAAGAGAATTTCAGTAGTGGGATTGAACAAATAATCTCTCACACAATACAAAAGTTTTGTTGCTTAGCACGAACTATTAGGTGTTGATCTCCCCTCCTCTCCTCCAAAGACTTTAGAGCAGAAGATTAATCACTCAACAGTCCCTCATTTAGAAAGTACTTGGATGATTTCCCCTATTAAGTATTACCTGTAAGGTTATCCTAACAAGACTAATATGTTTAACAGTTGCTCAACAAACTCCTACAGTAACTCTAAAGAGCACTTGTATATTTTTTTCCAGTTTTTAAGTATTGCAAGGCACATAAAAAGATTTGTGGCAGAATCAATAGGCATTTTTTGCACTTATGGAACAGATACAGTATAACTCTTTTAAAGGTATATTTACAAATGTTTATTGGGAAGTTAACCATCTTTGACATATAGAGTATTAAACTAGTGTGACATGAATGCATACAGATGGTCAACATCATACAGAAGTAGAAATAACCTAATACCCATGACAAGTTGTAAAGATTAGGGTATGCATAGCTGGGGACCCTGTTTTAGAGTCAACTATATCATCTTATAGGTAGATGGAGGGATCCAGAGGTCAAATCTTGGTTTTCTTCAAGGTGTGGCTAATGGTTTTTAAAATAAAAACTCATACAAAAAAGGTTTGGGGAGAAGAATATGGATCCAAGAGGTGGTTGCTGTGGCTGTGAAAAACGGAGGTATGAGAAGAGTTAAGGAAGAATAGAAGAAAATAAAGTGGTGGGAAAGGTACAAGAGGAAGACAGAGGTGGACAAGAGGAAAGAGAAGGGGTCTTAGGGGGTGAGTGTCTTGTAAAGTTAAAACAACAATAGAGAATCTTCTAATTGTGAGGGTTGTGAATGTGACATCCAAGGATACCAATTGAGGAGAAATGTGTGGATAGCCTTAAGGTTTTGTTTATTGTGATATTGGTCGACCAGTTTTTTACTGCTTCGAAGCTTAGAGTGGAGGATTTCCAGGCCTTGGCTATTCTAAAGCCCGTACACATGATGAGAATATCAGACAAATAATCATCTATTTTTTTTTTTTTCATGTTAGTCTCCATATTGAAAATAAAGCGGTTACGAAAATACTTGAAAAACAGAATACACATTCGGAAGTGATG